CCGCAGGGCGCCATGGGCCGCGTCATCCGCGGGCAGAGGAAGGGCGCGGGCTCCGTGTTCCGCGCCCACGTGAAGCACAGGAAGGGCCCGGCCAAGCTGCGCGCCGTGGACTTCGCCGAGCGGCACGGCTACATCAAGGGCATCGTCAAGGTACGGGCGGCCCGGGGCCCAGCCCCGCTGCTCTGCGCTGCCGCCGTGCCCGCAGCGCTCTGGCCGGCCCCTACCCGTCTGGCCCGGATTCTGGCTTCTCTGTTCTCGGATACATCCTATTCCCTGAAAAGTCAAACTCTTCTAGGTTTGTGAGAACATCTCAGCAGGGAGGGCACGCTTGGTCAGCAATAAGATTTTCTGCTGGAGCTTTGCTAAGAGTGGCAGTATCAGCGTGATTTTATGTTGCCTCAGAATTCCCTGTACTCAGGAAACATGGCTGGGCAGTTTCCCCATGTAGTTAACTGCACCTTAAAAAAATACAATAAAACCCCAAAATCATTGTAAATGCAAGGGATAGCCATCATTTTAGTCTTGAGCAGTATGAGCAAGGCAGTACCTGTATTTGGGGTGTGGTGGTGGTTCTGGGGTGTCAGGGACCGTGGAGTGCCAGCAGTGCTACTGACTGGATGCTCTGGGCAGCCCTTCAGTGTCCTACAGCACGATCATGTTCAGGCTGCAGAGAGAACTCTCTTCACCCTCACCTAACCGAGGTGATGATAGCAGCTGGGTAGCAAGGTTTGACTTGAAGTTCGTCATACAGAGGGGGTTTGGCCAACAGGGCTGAAAAAACGTCAGCAATGGGCACCAGCAGTTGGTGAGCTGTCCTAAAAGACAGAGACATCTTAGAGATGTGTCAGAGTCACTTGTCTGCAAATACATGGCTGGGTATTTTAATCCCAGTGTGCTTCAGGAACAGAAAGCACATGTTTCTGTCTGTGCTTCATAATTTAGGAGCTTCAAAAACTTTGTTTTACCTGAATGCAGAAAGTTAGAAATGCTTCAATCCCAAGGAAACACATGGAGAAGTCACTGCCTGTGCCCAGCTCTGTCCTGCCCAAAGGTGGTTGGGCAAAGTGAAAGTGGATTTCTTAGTATGGAGAGACTGGATACCTGCAGAATGCCAGGGATAAAACTGCTCAGACAGGATTAGCTACAAACAGCACACTTATCCAGGCGTTATTTTGTGACCAGTGAATGATTTGGGCTGGAAGGGACCTCAGAGCTCATCCACTTCCACTCCTGTTGCCATGGGCAGGGGCACCTCCTGCTATCCCAGGCTGCTCCAAGCCCCATCCTGCCTGGCTATGGACACTTCCAGGGATGGGGCAGCCACAGCTTCTCTGGGCACCTTGTGCCAGGGCCTGCCCACCTCACGGGGTGGGATGTAGGTACTGGGGCTCGTGTTGTATCAGACGTGACCCTTCAGCCCTGAGGGGTGTCTTGCTGAAAACCCTCCCAGTGACCACCCCCCTCTTCCCGAAGCTCTTTGGTTCCTGCAGAGCCCCTGGCAGGGGCCGTGTCCCGCCTAAGGCAGCTCTGCATTCCCACAGGACATCATCCATGACCCCGGGCGGGGCGCTCCGCTGGCCAAGATCGCCTTCCGCGACCCCTACCGCTTCAAGAAGCGCACGGAGCTGTTCATCGCCGCCGAGGGCATCCACACCGGGCAGTTCGTGTACTGCGGCAAGAAAGGTGGGCAGGGCTGGGCTGGGCCGGGCTGGGCCGGGCCGGGCCGGGCCGGGCCGGGCCGGGCCGGGCCGGGCCGGGCCGGGCCGGGCCGGGCCGGGCCGGGCCGGGCCGGGCCGGTCGGGGCGGGGCGGAGCCGGGCGGGGCGGGGCTGGGCCGGGCTGGGCTGGGCAGGGCCGGGCTGGGCTGGGCTGGGCAGGGCTGGGCTGGGTGTCCCAGCTCCTGGAGTTCGGGATGCTGACCCTGCCGCAGGGTCTGTGCTGCTGCTCTCCCATGCTCAGCAGCGCTGTAACCCCAGCCCAGGGCCCCCAGTGAAGCTGTGGCTGCTCTCTTGCTCCTTGCAGCCCAGCTGAACATCGGCAATGTTCTGCCCGTGGGCACCATGCCCGAGGGCACCATCGTGTGCTGCCTGGAGGAGAAGCCCGGCGACCGCGGGAAGCTGGCGCGCGCCTCCGGGAACTACGCCACCGTCATCTCCCACAACCCCGAAACCAAGAAAACCAGAGTGAAACTGCCCTCAGGCTCCAAGAAAGTCATTTCTTCTGCAAACAGGGCTGTTGTGGGTAAGGAGCAATCACTGTGAACGTGTCACTGGGCTTCTTGCCACTGACTCTTCCAAACAAGGCCCCACTTTTATCTTGGAAATAGTGTCATGTGCAGGGTGGACAGTCTGTGCTCAGATGCCTGGCTTGTATTTTACTCCTGCATTACATTTGCATGTTGCTAACCTAAATTTGGAGGTTTGACCTAGTGAGAGGACAGAAAACTAGATGCTCGTTGTCCTCAGGCTGTAGTGGAATTGCTCAGCCTGTGAAATCCAAAGTCCTTGGGGAAGGACTTATATGGGAAGTGGCATTTTGATCTCCTGCTCTTGGTACGCTGAAGGAGCCTGTTGTTGGTGTCAGGTGGGTGGAGTGTTCCAGGAGGTCTGACAAGGAATGACAAAACCACTGCCAAGAAGCAGAGGCTGCACCAGGTTTGTTGTGCACCTGACAGCTGAAATGGCTGCTGGTGACACTTGCCTGCCTCTAATCTGGTGTGTTAATCCAGTAAAATTGACTCAGTAAATCATGAAACAAGTAGGTATTTGACCTCAAAGTTCTTCACAGTCCCCTGAGCTCTTTCAATTCATACTTCACTTGAAAAACTTAATGTTGCTCAGGAAATC